TCCTGGCATCGCTACTAGGAGCATGGACGCTACTAGGGGCTCCTGGCATCGCTACTAGGAACAATGTTTGCTACTAGGGGCCTTACTACTAGGAACAATGTTTCCTACTAGGGGCTCCTGGCATCGCTACTAGGAGCACGGACGCTACGAGGGGCTCGTGGCATCGTTACTAGGAACAATGTTTGCTACTAGGGGCTCCTGGCATCGCTACTAGGAGCATGCACGGCTACTAGGGGCTCCTGGCATCGCTACTAGGAGCATGGACGCTACTGGGACTCCTGGCATCGCTACTAGGAACAATGATTGCTACTAGGGGCTCCTGGCATAGGGGCTCCTGGCCTTGCTACTAGGAACAAGAAGTTACTAGGGGCTCCTGGCATGCCATGGCCATACTCATGGCCATATTTTGCGAATCATTGTGCTTGTGTGTGTGTGTGTGTCACCAGCGAGTGACTGGATGCACCGTGTACGGGGGAGTTTCTACTGGATGTGTGTGTGTGTGTGTCAACGGCTCGGCAAAGCCGTGACCGGCTCCGTGGACTGTCGATGCTTTCATCAGTGTCACGCCCTCCACCACCAGTGAATCCAAGGCGAGTGGAAGGATGGCATCATCTCCAAGGCCGGTCGGACGAGATCGCTCCATGGGCTGGGAGGTTTGTATACATTCGTTACTCGTAGTTGGTGAGCTGGAAGCTACAGTGTTGCAGAACTTCATGTCCTTCAGTCCCTGTATTGCTTTCTGAATCGCATCACCTGCTGAAGCCGTGCGAAACACCGTGCTTAGGTGATGCGTGACTTGGGCCAGGTCCCTGACACACATCCCAAGTGGATCATGTTGGATGGTGCCTTGGAGGAGTTTGGGAGATACGGAGTGGTCGGTGGTGGCCCGACAGGAAGGTAGCTTGCAGCCATCAGATTTGAGGCCCTATGGACCTGGGGTTTGGTAATCTGAAAGTTGTATGGGATGCTTCTAACATCTTCTAACTCACCAGTAATCTGAAAGATTGGCGGTATTCGATGTGCGAAAAATGAGAACCAGCGACCCCATTTAGAAGCAAACCAAGATGGGTCAATATGGATGTGTGTCTTGACATAGGGAGAACGGTCTAGTTTCACTCTTGGGAAGAGGGTAACAACCAAGTGAGTGCTTGGCCGTTTGCGTTGGTTGAATCTCGTTTCACCGTCTTCCCCACCCCCCACCCACCCAATAGATTGTCCGGTGGTTGACTTTTCAGAGCCTGTTGCCAGCCGTCCCCCCACCCCCTCTGAAAGTACGCAAGTGAGTGCTTGGCCGTTGGGAGGGTCTCCCTATTCCAAGACCCACAATACATATATAGTGTATTACAATACATATTATTGCAGTATGTTGAACCATTTGCGATTGGCATCAAATTCGCAAGTTCTATCCTTTCGTCTTGCATCCACATCGGGCAAATCCCTATTCCTACGGCCGCTTCGCTCACTTCGTTCTTGCATTCCCTGCGAGAGCCTGCGAGACAACTCCGCGGATGACCGACATTGACCGACACAGGTGACTTGGATGCCAACTGGATCGAATCCATGAACAGCGTCATGGACGACAACCGTTTGCTGACTTTGCCATCCAACGAGCGAATTCCACTCAAGGCTCGTGAATGGGAGACCTGGGGGGACGAGAACAGGATGGCGCAGGATGGGACGAGAACAGGATGGCGCATGCGCATGGTTGGGGAACTTGTTGGAATGGAAATGGAGGGGATCGAGCCAGGCTCGTGAAGTTTCTAAGAGTCTAACAGTGTATGTTTTTGTGTGCCAAAGCAAATTATGCAGGAATGGCTCAGGGATCTTCAGGGTAACGTAGTAAAGTAACTAACAGTCTATGCCAGCCCAGCATTTCGTGATCGCCAGTTCGTCACCCCGACTTCCGAACGCTTCTTTTCACGTCGATTTGGTGGTCACTGCAGGTAGCGGTGGGTGCAGGTGATTTGCTCATAGCTCCGGTCCTGACAGCCTCGTTTTCGTGTCCTGTCAAAGTGTTTGCCTGGGAATTTGGCTCACACAATGTACCCAGTCAGTGGATAAAGTTTAATTCGTGGGGGGGATTTGTTTCCCCACTAAACATGAACAGGTTAGTGATACTATACTTTCTCATTAGCCTCTTGGACCCTTTATTGCGACCAGGGTGTCAGAGACGGTCGCGACCAGACGTTTGGAAGGACAAGACAGCAGTATGTGAACAGGTGGACAGTTCTGTTAACCTTTGCCTTCCACAAATCTCCGGCGACCCAGACATGCCTTCACATGCTCCAATGGGTTGAGTGCTTTGTAGTGACTTTATTCAGCTTGGATTCAGCTTTGGGACATAAGGCCTTCAGTGCTGACATTGGTGTATATTCATATCCATGGACTTCAAAGTGTCGTGAAAGTGTTTGAGAAACTTACCACACCCGCACCTGGTGTCATAGAATGTATTTCATGGATTCCCTTACTTACAGCTAGAATGAGGATCTTTTTTCGGGGGTGGCAAAGAGCCAATTACAAACAATTCAATGTTTATATACACGAGTTGAAGAGCGTTTCAAACATGTTAGAGAAAATAGAACATCACACATCATAGAGTAGCGATGAATTTTGCTTCCAGGGTCTTCCTCAGTTTAATATATTATGCCCCGCCAAGTGCACCCCTAGTTGTGCGCTAGTTGTTCGGAATGCTTCAGCTTTGTCGTGGTTTCCATATGGATTCCCGTGGTTTCTCCGTGGTTGGTCATGCTTAGTTGCCGGATGTCCAGGTTTTGTTCGGTGGTTTCCATGCATGAACATCGATGAAACAACGCCAAAGCTGACAGTTCAGGTTCCCCTCCCGTACTGCCAAACATTTTCATGCCATATATGACAGTCGTAGGGGTACCCAAACTCATGGGTAAGTGGATTTTTGGTGGCCCAGGGGGATCGACGTCAGTCATGGCGATCGACATCCAGGTGCACATGAAGATGATCTTCGAGATCCGGGACCTCAACTATGCCACCCCGGCGACCGCCACACGCGCGGGCATCGTGTGTCCGGCCTCCCAGCGTTTCGGAGGTGACCGCGTTTCGGCGCCGACCGAGCTCGGCAGCCGAAGCAGCCGGTGAAAGGGCTTCGTGTTGCACCTTGGGAGCGAAGATGCGGGGGTGAGGGCAACACAGCATGGCGCAGCGCAAGGTATGGACGATACCTTCGGTGTGCAGTGGCGATCGTATGTGAAGAGTTGGGTGCAGAAGCAGGAGAGCTTCGGTGTGCGATGTGGGAGATCATAAGAAAGCCAGGATGACGGAACAAGATATGTGCCGGAACACATATGGGCGCATCATATATTAGTTGATCGCTTCAAGCTAGTCGAGACAGACTTCTGGGCGGAAAACAGTGCTTTTCTGCAGTTTGGTAACTCTTTAGGTGAACCAAAAGACCTAGTTCCGTTGATCAAGTTGATCCTCCATGAGACCTGCTACTGCTTGAGACCTGGTTGCTGCTAGGCGCTTAACATGGGCTGCAGTGGTTTGATATGGAAGCTGGCTAATGTCGAATCTCAGTATGGAGTATGGACCTTGCAGTTAGAGAGGGTCGTCCATGAGCTCAAAAGTATTCAAGAGTGCCTGTTTTTGGAACAAAAACCTGCTAAATCCTGCTAACTGTTAGGCAGACTTGAGTAGCTAAACGAGGCACGTGCTTTCAGAATTCTGAGCAGGCAAAAGTTGATTTTCATTGAACCTCTATGGATGTTTTTTTGAGCCAATGGACTAGTGAAAGCAAAGGAAATTCAGGATTTGGCTGGGTTTGGAAACCTATAAAGTTGCATTCAGAGGGACACGTTTCAGGGGAACACTTGTCACCTGGAGGGAAACTGTTCTCCTGAAAACTATCGTTTGAAGCCAGACCTTGGTCGACCATTACCGCCGAGATGAAGCCAGGAGCATCCGGACAACATCAAGGATCAGCTCTGGAACTTCTTTGAGAAGCAACCTAGTCAAACTTGTTTCTTTTCTTCGGCAGTTTTTGGAAGGCACATGAAACAAACTACATCTCCCACTGTTTCTTCTTTGATTCTTTTTTTTCTCCAGCTCAAAAAGGGATGGGAGCACGTCACTGTTTTCCAAGCACCGGGAGTCGAATCCTGCGTCGAATCCACGCCATCTCCCAGCATTTTTGTTGGAGAGGGTGAGTCCAACAAGGTGTTGTTGTGGAAGATCTTTAGGCCTTCAGGTATGCTCAGGTCTTTGAGAAGAAGGGGTCACTAAGAGCTTGTGTCCCATGACCCGTGAGGTACCAGGTGCAAAAACGATGGACGGCCGTTTTCCACCAAACCTAAGGGGGGTCCTTTGAGCTGCAACATTGAAGGATGATGAATGTCAAATTCGCACTCATCCAAGTCTAAAATAAAAATTCTTAATTTGTTGGATCCTGTTGATCCTGAGAGTTGCTGCTTCTGGAGTGCCGTGGATCTCTGCTAACCACAACAAAAACACCCGAACGCAACGAGCCGAAGTGTGTGTGTGAAGTGCACGCTAAATGTTCCGTTCCGGTCCTGCCAAGCTAGAGATGCCCTGCTTCCGTCTTTGTTTATCTTTGTTTCTCAGAGACATAGTTCTCATCAAACACGATTTTGAAGCGAAATCCCAACTGGAGGTACTGAAACATTTGGTATTTCTCCAACACCTTTGTCAGACTGTTTGAAATCATGGCACCTCCGTGTACCCAATGTATAGGTGTGTCTGTTCTCTCAAGCTGCAAACGTAGAGCCACTGCTTCAATGTCACTACGTTTTTTTGCTCCTTTGATGCACACTGTTGGTCTATGCAGTTTGTCGAACAGGTTTTTGGAGTCTGTGATTAATGCCACTGGTATTGTTCGTGCAGCTTCATCGGGATCTCGAGGGTCAAGTTCACCTCCGCACATCTCGAACCACAGTACCCGTAGATATAGTAAGTACTATAGTAAGTCATCCTCACCATCCACGCTAGCCTGGGTCTCTGCAGCAGCTGGTGACCTACACACTCTGGATATTTTAAATATTTTGGAAGATCTCCAATGTATAGCATGAAGTACACTGTCTTCCTTGAAGGAGTGCATGGTGTACTCCTGATTTTTCCATTTCTTCATCTGTCGAACTAAAGCATTTGTTCGGTTCACTTCTGCCACCGTGCCCACTGGGATCTGTGAAATCAGAAATCCTACGTCCACGGAAAACATAAATGCTGTTTGGCCACAAATCCAACTGAGACTTCCCAAAGTGCCCCGAAGCTAGCTCTTCTCTTTGTCGTTGGTTGGAAGCTCCTGCTGCCTTGACCTCTTTGCTGAAATGCTGATTTCTTCAACCTCTTCTAGGAATCTTGCCTGTTGTAATGTGATGGAACTGTCCTCATGTTGAGTAATGACAATACCGCACTGTTCGAACTTGTCATACTCCCATGTTCCCCACTTGTACGCCGTTTGTATTTGTTGCATGAGTTGGTTGTGGATTGAATTATTTGCTCGGCCTCCAAACATGAAATCATCCACATGTCCGTGTATTGCGGATCTAACACATCCCTGTGGGTCAACATACACCCAACAACAAGGTTCTGTTGTCAACCGTGTGTACCCCAACTGTGACAATTTCTTGCAAATGGACTCGTACCAATGAAGTGGTGCCTGAACTAAACCGTATGCTGCTTTCCGCAACAACATGGGTGTGTCTGCACTCACTCCTAGTTCTTCACAAAATTCACGTATTGGTCGACACCACAGTTCCTCCGTCAGGTCTTCTCCTTGTAAAAATGCACCACTTACGTCTCCCTTTGCTATCTTGAATCTTCGATGTGCACACATCTGTAAAAACAATTGTTTGCCTGCCTTTGTTGGAGTTGGTGATGATGTTTGTCGTTCACTATAACTAGGATCTTGGAATCCCAACACTATGGCCCTGACCTTTGCCTTTTTCCCGTCAGCATACTTTGCGTCATACTTCCAGGTTAGCAGCCACCTCACGCCCATAATGTTCTGTTCTTCTGGATGTTGCTCTTCTGTCAATTGGAAACATTTTGAAGCTATGAAATTGCGTACCTCCACTTGTTTTGCTTCTGCAAACTTCTGTGCTTCTTCTGGTGTCAGCTTGCGCTCACTCACCTCCACCTGCTTCCGCTTGATCTGGTTGGCCATGTATGCTTCTGGATTGGCTGCGAACTTTTTCCAGCCTCTGTTGCTCTGTGGAAGTTCCAGTTCAATCTCATGCTTTGCAATGTTCTGCCACACTGTAGAATGCCACATAGTCAATGCGTGGTCGACTACTGCTGCTGGAACCTTGCCCTTCCTCCGAATCCTGTTTCTCACCTCTTCTCTCTGCTGGTCTGGTGGCGGAGGGTCGTTCTGCTGCACTCAACGGACCTTTTTCATGGAATCTTCGCAGTGGTGCTCCTTGTTCTTCTCGAGTTCGAGCCACTGGTTCTTCCAAAGCCTGTTCCCATGCAGTGTCATCTGGGGCTTCCGAGGTGATATCTTGGTATACTCTTCTCTATGGGTCCTGTGTCATCTGAGATATGGTCCATGGTATTTCAACTGGCCCATGCAACTCCTCAATCATAATCTGATGCTTTTCTGACCTGCTCCGGAGCTGCTTTCAGAAGTCTACCACCTTTGTACAACCATATACCACACTGCCAGGTCGGAATTGTGCATCTTCCTTTCGTGTTTCTGTTGCCAATACTCTTGCTGGTCCAAGGAATCGGCCTGTCTGGAAAGTTCCCCTGTCGGTGTGAGGAACCTGTCTTCTGAAAAAGTACACCAAATCCCCTGGGAGAAAAATCTGGTGTCTTCGATGTCCCATACGTTCGGCCCTCTCCAAACGACGTTTTGCTTGCTCATCCAAAAATGCCTTTTCTGCTCTGTGTCTCACTTGGTCATCCTCCTGGAACCCATCAGCTCTGGATGGATGGGGCGAACTGTATCATCATCAAACATTCTGCCACATGCGTCCGGAGCCCTTCCCAACACATGTTGAAGAGGACTGTATCCCCTATACCATGTCCTGTTGTTCATTGCCCACACCGTCCTACTCATCAGGTTGATGGCTGTTTCTGGATGTTCTGCTCCCAAGGTGTTCAACATGCCCTTGATAGTCTTGATATGTTGTTCCACAGTGCTCAACTGCCAATGCGCCTCCCCCGGAATCATGTCTAAGAAAATCCCCTGTTCTGAACAATAGTCATTTGCTGCTTTGTTCAACCATGCACCTGCAGGATCTACTCGAAGGCTTTTTGGTCGTCCAAACAAGGGAAACCAATGTTCCTCCAAACACTGTTTCAGGTCTTCCCAAGTGGCGGTTTTGTGAGGGTGTTCATGAAGTACTTTGCACATAGTCAATTTTGGAACCACTGTCTACCATGACAACAAAATTACATTTTGTCTTGGTCACCGGATGTCGCCAAGTTCCCGCATCGACTTCCAACACCTCCCACTTAGCTGCCAAAGTCTCCAAAGTAGCAAATCTCCGAGGGTCCGGAATCTTCCGAACAGCACATTGTGGACATCTCCACTGTTTTGCCGCTTGCAACACTTTCTCTGAAACACCTCTACGTTCAAGAGCACGCATCAATGACTGATGACTACCATGACCTGTATTTGTGTGAATGTATTGTAATTTCTGTTCAATCTCCAGTCTCTCGTCCTCTGGGACGGCTCTCCTGGCTCCTCGGAAGGTTCAGCTGGTGTTTCCAGAGCTGGGAGAGCGTCCTCAGGGCACGAACGAGACATCTCTTGAACAATCTTTGACCACACCTCACCTTCTGAAAAACAAGCAACCACCTTTTTCGCAAACACCTCTGTGTATCTTGCTGTGTGTGCTGTCTGTCCGGCTTTGCAACGACCTTTGGGATGGTTCTTCTGACAGGGCAAATGTAACCGTTGTAATATCAAGGGGTTCTTTGTTGCTACTGTCCATGCTTTACACAACGGCAATGTTTGATCTTTAGTCTTGAGACCCACTGCGCAGCCACTGGTGGTCACCTTTTGCATCTGGTGACGCTCCAAAAACTGTGATCTCTGGCAAACCCCATGCCTCACTGCGCTGTGAAAATTCCCAATGAACATCCAAATGAAGTTCAAAAGCCTCTTGAGCAACCTCAATGGCCCCCAAATACTGTTGTCGAGCCTTTGCCTGTTTTACCTCAAGTGAATGTCTCTGTTCAGGAGTTTTTCTATTCAACCTCTGCGGTGGACGAAAAGGTCCGCACTCACAACTGATCCAAACATTCGCTGGTCGGTGTCGTCTCAACAATTCCTTGATGAGTTTCACCCCAGCCTCTGTCTCAAGGTCTCCCCCATTCCACTCGCTCAGCCTCATACAACTCCCTAGCCCAAAACGACGCTCAACTTCTTTTCCTAACACACTGTCATGAAAACAAGCCACTTCCAGCAACAAGGGACGGTTGTGAAAAACAAGCTTTGACCAACTGTCACTGAAAACATTCTGGCTTGGGCCCCAGTTCTGGCTGATCCTCTTGAGGGTCCCTTCGGACAATGCGGAAAACTCACACTCTACATCTCTTTCCGGCCCTTCACACGTCCCGTCTGCAGCTCCATGTCGGCTTGGGCCGCCTCCAGCTCCATGATCTTGGTGCGCAAGGCCTGGTTCTCTGATTCCAGGTCTGATGCACGGCCCTTGGTGTTCTTGGAGGCTCCCGGTAGTTTTCCCATCTTGGATTCGATCGTGGTTCGAGTCCTCTCCATCTCCATCTCCTCCCATTCTGCCAAGTCCCCTTCCGTCAAGACTACCGGCTTCTGGGTTGCCATGTCGAAGACCTGGACGGATGTGCCGCCGTAGCCTTTCTGCCCGGAGCTCTGGGATTTCTGTGTCTCTGCCCACTTTGCCAAACGATGGAGGCGCCAGTAAGGGCGCTCTTCTTCGCGGGCTGTGGTCTGGCACCAGGTCACATACGAAGGAAAGTCGTTGAGGACCTCCTGAAAGGTCAGATCCCCATGCTTGCCGAACCCGACCTTCTCGCGACCCGAAGCTGGGAAACCCTGGTAGATCTTCTCCTCGCCCAACTTGAAGAGCTGGTTGATCGTTGCCGTCTCTGGGACTTTGATTCCCTCCTCCTGAAGGAAGGTCACCAATTCTGACTTCTTCCGAGATGCCCTTTTGAGGCCCTTCAACTTTTCCTCCAGCTGTGAATCGAGTCCCTGGCGACGTTCCTCCACCACCTCTGCCCAGTGAGCCTTGATTTGGATGAGGGTCCACTCGCTTGGAACAGCAATGTCCTCGTCCTTCAACTTCTGAATCCACTGAGCTTTCGTGCTTGGAGCCGGCATGTCCGAACAAGCTGAACGAGCAAGGCTTCGACGAGTCACTTGAGTGTGATATGGGCTGTGCATGTGTGCGTGTGTGGGATGTTCCTCAGTGAGTTCCTGGCACTCTTCACAAAATTCACACACTCCGAACCTACATGCTTTCAAATAACAAAACTTGCAAATGCAAAAATCTTGAATTCCTACCTGTTTGGAACTGTCTGCACACAGTTCCCTCCTCGTGTCTGGCACGCTCTCCTGACCTTTGTCCATATCGCCAGAAGAGTCATGTCCCTGCTCGTGAAGTGAAATGAAGGGGGTGCCTCTGGTCGCCCCTCCCGTTAAAATATGTCCCGTCATGGGCATGAGAAGATGCCCATTGGAGGCTTCTTCAAGCTTGATCACCCGGCTGGCATCCACGTTGGTGTAAATCACTTCTCCAGTTCGAAAGTCCAGCACCGCTCCCAAGGCCTTCAAGGCCTTTCGCGACACCAGGATTGGTTGACCTGGTGAGTCGTGGACGTGCACCTCAAGCTTGCTAGCCTTCTCTCCAGCTCCAAGACCCAGGGTGACTGTTGACAGTCTTCCCGAGCCCATTGCCAAAGCGGAATGTGGGACGACGACTTGTGTCCACTTCCATCATGGTTGCTCCGTGCATGGCCACATTGGCTTTCATCACCTGTTCCAAAGCATCAACCGAAGCCAAGGAGGAGGTGGCTCCGGAATCGATCACTCCATAGCACCGATGGACTGTCTCATCGGCTGCCAATCCTTCTTCTTGTTGACCAAACAAGCTGCTCTCTTCCTTTTCCATCGCAAGCCCCAAAGGCAATCTCAGCTGCCTCTTCAGCAACTCGTGCCTGCTGGGCGGGCTTTGGACAATTGCAATCAAGTGTGGGCCTCCGCACCGGAAGCAAAGTTTTTGGCCTGAGGAGCTCCTCTGACCTCCTGCGTCTTGACCTGCTCGCTGGAAAGGTTTTGGTGGGAAGAATCCTCTTCCCAACTTCATCTGCTTCTGCTTCCACCTTGCCTCACGAAGTGTGGCCTTCTGGGCCTGGATGGCAGCCAAGGCGGTCTCCACCTTGTCTTGCTCAGTCATGTAGGCCTCCTGGTCTTCTGGGCTCATTGCCTCGATTCCATCGAAGCCATCATCTGCCATCAGTCCCTGGAGATCATGATCTTCTTCGTCCTCAGCCCACAAAGCTGAGGCATCGGACTTCAAGCGGTCTCTCTTCTGGAGATCTTCATCTCCCCATTGTTCACGGAGTGCGCGAAACACGGAGAGCAATGAGAACTCCCCACGAATCGATGCCATCACATTTGCCCGCTCGTGTGCATCCAGACCACTTCTATGAAGCAGCAAAAAGCCTGCGAGGAACTCCGGGATGAAGATGTTGCTGCTGGTGTCCCATGAAGTTGGTGGCTCATACTCTTTGGTCCTCCAAGTGTCTTCCGACCATTCGGAATTGCTTTGCCACCAGCCCTGCCACCATTGTTCTTGTCCCTCTTCCTCGTCATCTTCCTGCAGCAAGCCATCAGCTCGGAATGGTGCTTGATGGTATTCTGTGTCACGGAAAGGTGCACGTTGATGCTCTCCACTGGCACTGCTCCTGGCTCCCAAGTCACTCGGCTTACGAGTGGCTCCCAAGTCCCCGGGAGTTCATAGGTCTTGCCATGCTCCTTCTGCACCTTCCTCAAAGCTTGGCTTGCCTCCCATAGCCCTTCCTGGTGTCGAGTGATCCAGGAAGTCATGTTCTCCCTACGACGTCGCTGCATGCCATAGAAGAACTTCATGACAAAACGTGAGGCTTCTGGAAGGCTTGGCCGGGCGATCACACCCTCCAAATACTCAAGGAGAATGTAGACCCCCCCTTGGTTTGGCTACCCATTGAGGATCTCGAAGGTTCATGGCCCTCACAGCCATCTTGGCGGTTCCCTCGAGCTCCTTCAGCAGCCTTGGTGCCACCACATAACGTTTCTTGTGCTCAATCGTCGAGGTATTGAACTGCTTCTTCTCGGTAGGCTGCAAAAAGTTCGGGGCTCCCATCATATTTAGGAACTCCGTCGGATGTCCTTTGTATCCCTCTTTCCATCACAACTACCCTTTGCCGACAGGCTCAGGCAGTCCCGTCCAACCACTCTTCTCTTCAACTCGAAACACCCAGTTGCTTCCACAGCGAAAACCAGGCTAACCGGCTACCATGCAAAAACGAGCAAAGACGGCCGTTTTCCACCAAACCTAAGGGGGGTCCTTTGAGCAACGAACGAAAGGATGAAGGTCAAATTCGCTACCAGGTACCTTGAGGTGTTGCCCAAAACAGACGGACTTGGATGGATTTGGATGGATCTGGATTCAATTTGATTTGCTGTTGAAAGCTGGATCAGCCTTTCTCATCCCTCCAAAACCCCTCTGTCACCCTCACACCTCAGCCTTTGCAGAGCCTGGGACCGCGAGCAACGCGTCGTTTGCGCGTTGCTCAGGTGTGGCGCTAGCACCACACATTGGATGCTGAAGAACGTGAAAATCCTGGTGCCCATGGCGGCCCGGCCGAAGCTGCGAAGAACATGGCACCATGTGCTAACCACCTTCAAATACTAGTAGCCTTATAGCGATGGCCTCCAACCTGATTTCGATGGCCTCCAACCTACTAATTAGGGATGGCCTCCAACCTAATAGCGATGGCCTCCACCCTAGGGGTTACCTTGATCGACATGTGCACGGCAACTGAATGAAGCGTCTCGACTTGCGGACGTCCCTGGTTCCTGGTTGACACATCATCTTCGGGCTGAGTGAGGCCAACTGTTGTTTCAAGTCTCTTGATGAGATGTCAACGCCCCATATGAAGAGGTTTGGTCATGTTTTGTCCAAATGACGGATTTGTTTTATTGATCAAGAGTCTACATGAATTAGTCTTGCAGTTATTCTTTTTCAGATGCCAGCAGGTGTAAGATGGGTAGCTTCTGCCTGCAGCCACCACTCTGATGTTGTGACCCTTTGGTTGGAAAACCTCACAAGTTAGGTGAAGAGGATTGGACTCCCTTGAAAAGAACTGGTTTGTTTTAGGTCCTTATCCAGGACTTGTGCTGATGAAGCAAACCCCAAATGATGCAACCCCCTGTCAAGATCGAGGGTTGCGGGCATTCGTTGGGTGTAGGAGGCCTTGTTTGCGGAGGTTGGAAGCTCGGGACTCCAGGTTGGAAGCTCGGGACTCCCACTTAAAGTCGTTTTAAGCTGTTCAACTTGAAGTATACATTATGAGACCTTGGTGTGTGGATGGCTTCGAGTATCCAGCATGCCCCGTGAAGTTACACCCTCCCCTCTCAGTCACTTCTGGCCTGCTTGGTTTGCGAAGAAGAATCCACACCCCGACTCGCCCGACGGAATGTGTTTGACACATCATTTGCAAGTCCGTTCGAAAAAGGGGGTCCTCTTCCCAACTCCTGAATATGTCATGGAGTCACCATGAAGGTCTGAACCTTCGCTCAACGTGAAAAAACCATCGGAAAAAGGGTGGACGCGAGTCGTTCATTGTCGTCGAAACCAAGATCACATTGAATAAACCTCTATCAGCCTCACTGAGGTGGACATTTGCCTCATCAGCGCCTGCTGTAGCTTGTTGGACAACCTTCTGACTCCCGCGACCTATGACTCCTTGGAGCGCCTCGGTAGCGCCACGGTGGCTCGCGCAGACCAAGACGAGCACCCACCGACCGGCGGTCGTCGGCTCGGGGCTCGTGCAGGAACAAGGACGCTACTAGGGGCTCCTGGCATCGCTACTAGGAGCATGGACGCTACTAGGGGCTCCTGGCATCGCTACTAGGAGCAAGGACGCGAAAGATGAATGGCTCAGACTGGGGGACAAGAGCTCCCTAAAAAGGGTTCAGGTCCCGTGTATAGCGCGACTCGCGGACAGTTCATTATGCCACAGCCCGGTTCAGGGCAGTAGGAGGTCCCGTGTATAATATATATTAACACAAATAACTAATATATACTATAGTGTGTGTTGAAATAGAGAGATCCTCCAAGCAATGGAATTTACCTTGCTTTTCCCCAGGGTTCAAACTGGGGGTCTTGAAGGAACCTTAAACTTTTTTTTGAGAAGATGGCACTATTGCCAATTACTTGGGAGGATTGCCTTAGTTGCCTGACAGACAGAGGACAAGATTTCCCAAACGCAAAGGTATATCAGACCTTGTAAAGCAAAACCATGAAACCACTACGATCATATTTCTTATAATATATATATATACACCTTACAATATATTCCTTACAATTTATTTGGCTTGGTCAAACTTTATTTTTTCTAACAACTCAGTCTGAACCCTTCACCGGTGTACACAACTCAAGTCAGCGTTCGGCCTTCATCAGGACATGGGCAAGCGCTTAGGCGGACCATGTCACATAGTTTTGCGTGTGCTAGGCTTTGGGCAGTCTACAGAAACATTTTCCCTTCCTGCAGAATGGAGCTCTCAGCGCCATCAGGGGAGTGTAGTGCCACAAGAAACGACCACGTTTCATCAGCAAAACCACTGCAATGGATAATCGACTGAAGTTTTGATCCACAACCTACCCATCCTAAGTCCTTTGCCGGAAAGCTGTTCAGAATTGAGTGAAATTTGGTCCAACAGGCCTTGGCTTCGCCAGAAAGAAGATCGGCTGATCGCACGGCCTTGGCTGATCGACCGAGGTATTGGTTCATGTTCTGCTTTACTGCAGCCTGTGGTCTTTGCTTGGCTGAAGTCGATGGCGTTGACTATCGAAAGAACTTCAGAGTCTCACCTGAAGTCAGACGGGGTGGGTTATACGAGGGTCATGAGGGGTCATTGTGGGCTGACAGAAACGGACCATCCATGTGAGAGGGTGCTCCAGACCCGGCCATCCCACGGCTAAACGTGGTTTATAAAGGTAGGAGGGTCTTGAGACAACCTATCAGACATAAGAATTTCAGCGTTGATTCCCAAGTCTTCGAGAAGGATCAATCAGAGAGGCCGAAAACTGTGATTTCTAGTCCTCGGTGTTTGCTCGAACTGAGCCAAACTCCATCCAAACCCAAATTGTTCCTGTTTAGCAAAACCCAATCAAACAATACAGAGCAAGGATAGCACTCTTTGATCCCAGATCATATCAGGCTTAAACATACGAGGGACATGAAAACATCTCCAACCAACGCAAACCTGTTCAAAGCCAAACAGTTGCACATTTCGTGTTTGCTTCTTCATCCATGTGAACCATCTTGTTCGGGTTCCGAGTGACGAGTTCACAAAACGAGTCACGAGTCAGGCAATTGGTGGAAGGGTGAGATGAAGACTGTGAAGTATCCTTCGAAGGGCGGCATCTTCGACTACTATGCGCCTGATCGATGACGATGTATGGGTACGAAATGGATGATAGTAGGCATGGATCCCTAAGATGTATACTGCTGTACACTGTTCAAATCAGGGGTAGGACATGATTTCCCACGAAAGCTAAGATTCTCTGTCAATACTGTTTGTGCCTTCTTGTCTTCTACTTGTCCATGAGCAACAACCTGAGCCCCCTGGATTTTGACGGTGGACCACCATTCCATGTGTGTTGAAAAGCAGATCAACACGGTGAATTTTGCTTGAGTGATGCCATTGTTGCGCAAAGTAACTGATGATTGATTGTACATATATTATAAATGATTATAAATATAAATGTACAATTATTCAACCAGTGACTACAAGTGAACGGTTCTACAGAAACCAGCAGCACACTGTTACTTGACATGTGCATTGCTTGACTGCGGGATGCAGGATATGGAACCTTGGAGCCAGTATTTGAGACCATGCAAAAGCTTTGTTGGATCTCCAGCCAGGTTTACGGTTTGATGGGTTTGATCCAAAAGCTACACCTGACATTTTCTTCATCCAAGTGTCATATATTGACCAAAGATTTGGTTCATGTCCCCCCAAGAAAGCATCCCCAACAAGGTCTGTCCATGTCTGTCGTCGCAACCCGACCCCCCTCGCCCGCTCTCCATGTCGCACATCAACGAATGACACTTCGGCCGCTGGCCGCGGCCGGTCACCCGCGCCGCGTCCGTCCGGTCTGCGCGGCCGCGCAGCGGTCAGAACGCAGCGTGACGAGTTCGGACTGCAGGTGAAAGATGCCAAGTTTGAGGAATGGTCCACGGCAGTGGAGACCTTGGAATACTCCAGCGAGACGCCCATGGGCGAGATCACCGCACCTGTGGCTGCAGTGAGACGCTGCTTTGTGGAGAGGTGGATGACGGGTGTACGGTGCGCTTTATTGCGCGTATGACGTCAGACGCTTTCTCCTTCAGAGGCGCGTGGTGCTCGGCTTTGGGCGGACGGATTTTGTTACCCATCCGCACGGGATGGCTATAGGTTCCCAGTGACTGCGCTCACAGATGCTCACAGTAACTCAGTAGATACTCCCATGTGCAACATTGAAGCAATGCACTGTTGAGGTGCCCACGAATGAGACGGTGGCCATGACCTTCCTCATGAGGCGAGCTGTCTGGAGTGCTTTGAGGAACTGCTGTACTGGATGGTAGCGATGGGTTGAGTCACGAGTATTTGCGGAAGGCTTCATCTTCCATGCATCCAACAAGCCACTGACCCACCAAATAGAAGGCACTGACCCACCAAAGCCATTGCAATACACCCCATTGCAAGGAGGTGGATCCCTGATAGTCCGATTGACCCCAAAACCTGGGAGACTCGACGGTCTCCACTGGCTCAGCCAGCGATGTATGGGCTTGACCTCGAGCGGACGCCAAACCTTGTGGCCTCCTATCTCGATCCGGTGGCGTGATCCATGAACCGACCAGTTCCAGGTAGTTCCAGTTCCAGTAAGGCGAACCGGATATTTCCCGTGTGGCGTTTTGGTGGTCTTTACATTGCCGAGATGCTCCATGAGACATATGCCGATCAGTTGGGGTGGTTTGGGGGGTGAATGTAGGCTTATATTCCATACATGGAGTGTATCGGTATTTGTTTTTGTGTCGTTTTTTGGACTCGTGGTGTTGCTTCAGATGTTTCTTCAGATCGCGCCGAAAAAGAAGCCGGTTGCCCTCAAGTCCTTGTCACAGACCACGGCCGTGTTTCAGAGTGTTTCGGAAGACTCGTCTTCACAAGCATTTCTGGGCTTGGCCATTGGCTCGTTTGATTTTTGTTGGTCTCCAAGCAGTTCTTCAGCTCTTACCACTTCCGGGCGAGCCAGTCCACGTGGAAAAACACACACCCTTCTGGGCCTTTCGACCTTTCCGAAGAACCCTGACGGTCACAGGGCGCTCATCGAGCAGCATCATCCAGAGACTTTGTGATAAAGCGGATGGGCGGAGCGGGGGGTTTTCGTTGTTACTTTTGTTGAGGGTGATGATCAACTGAATCTACTGCAGGATGAAGACCCGGATTGGATTTGTTCAATATGATTCATAGATGATGGATCTTGCCAGGTTTCAATGAACATGGCATGAACTTTCACTTGCCGTGCCTTTTTTAGGCGCGGGAAGGCAGGCAGGGGAACTGAAGGGAAACTTAAAGACCACGCCATCCAACTAAGCAGCAAGTGTCAAGATCACAGCACGGGTCAATATACTAAACAGGCAGATCCATCGTGGGCTTACCCTAAAGCAAGAAGCAACAGAAAGCCAAGCAAACAACAACACAATCACCAGCAATCCACCACAGCCACCAGACACTTCGTTCACTCACGTTTTTTTCTTTTAAACGAGAACCTGCGCTCGCGCAAGCAAGTAACCACTGCTACCAAAGCAACATAAAGCAACAGTGAACACGAAAGCACAGGCAAAAGGGGGAATTGTAGATACTCTATCCAAAAGGAAGTTGAACAAACTTGTTGCGGAACGCGACTTCTCAATGGCATGGCCTCGCTTTGTACCGCGTACACGTGGCCACGTTTCAGCGCCCGGCAAGGCCGCCTGGACCAAGGCCAAGACATGTGTCTCCTCACCAACCTCCCTCTTCGATCATCGCCACGCACCAGTGGACCCAATCAAAGAAAATTAATCCTCATTAGGATTTCCTCTAAATGGATAGGCTTAACCCTGTTATAAGTTATAAGGCCTATAGGGCATATTCATGATGCAACCCAGCACTTCCTCCGTTTTGAGAATCTCCCCGGATCAACCCCGACCAAAAAGGAACCTCCGACCGGGTCTCCGACCCCCGACTCGGATCCCGCTCCGAGGTGATGCTCATTGGACTGGCCGGATGTGGCAAGACGCAGAGTTGTCTCGGCTCCTTGTGTTGCACGTTCGGCACCAGACCTGAAGTGATGTAGAAAACACAAGCCGGACCTCCCAAGCGCTCTCTGGGGCGTTGAAAAAGACAGCTTCCGTAAAGAGCTTGTATTTTTGGGGGTCCCGGTGGCGTGGCGTAAGAGTGCGTGCGTGACGCGGCGAAGGTGAATGAAAAAGCATCATGTGGAAGAACGAACATGAATAGTTATTACTAACCCATGAATTTTACCATAAAAGACCTGCATAATAAAATTCATGGGTGATATCGGGTTCCAAGATCTACTGCAAAATAGAACAACCCATGAATCCTGGAACTTGGAACCCGAGATCATATTGTCCTTACCCCGAAAACGTGGGGGCAAGATAGTAACAAGGTGCATCGCTACTAGGAGCAAGAACGCTACTAGTAGCTCCCGGCATTACTACTGGTAGCAAGAAGCTACTGGTAGCAGGGCATCGCTACTAGTCTTAGTCTGGTGACATTTGGTGACATTTGATGACCATTGGCTCTTGAGCGGTGTGCCATTACTTGATGTTACTAGTAGCGTCCTTGCTACTAGTAGCGATGCACCTTGTTACTAGATGTTACTAGTAGCAAGATATAGTCTGGTGACATTTGATGACCATTGTAGGCTCTTAAGCTGTGTGCCATTAGTAGCCTCCTTGCTACTAGTAGTAGTAGTAGTAGTAGTAGTAGTAGTAGTAGTAGTAATGCCCTTTGTTACTAGTAGCTTTTTGTTCCTAGTAATAGCAATGCCAGGAGCTACTAGCAGCATCCTTGCTACCAATTATTTGTATTGTATATCTGGACAATGTTGTTTTGCCGCCATTTGGTGAACTATACAGGACCGATAGTCCAGATAGGCGATAGGTCCAGAAAACATCGTCCCTTGATCTCCCTGGGGTCCAGCGACTCCACCCTTTGAGCAACACTGAGGTTTGCTGAAATCCTTGCCGCCAGATGTCTTCACCTTCTATGCCTCTGGGGACTGGCAGAGCCAAACTGGACGATCCCCTTTTTTGACCAAACCAAGGTGCTAAATGTGAGATATGGAGCTGTTTCAGAGTACTTAGATGGAGCAAACGCCGACCAACCATGTTTTTTAGATGGACATCCTAATATACGCTCGCTTCTTAACACACCGTAAAGATCCGTAAAGCAGAAAAGGATATTTTGTCACATTGTCACAAGCCACATCAAGTGATTTTCTTGTGGCGTTCAGCCCATTTGACCAGTCGTTGCAACAGGGGCATGATCCAACACTCGTGGGGAGCCTACTATCCGGCAAACGAAGGCAAATTATATTTATACAATGTTATACATATATATATAGTTACAGTGCCACCGAAAACATGGTTTCGGTTCATTGTTCTGGGCTGGGTATTCTCCTAGTCATAGTCCCACAAGGAGAAGGGATTTAACGCCCGATGACCGGAGTTGAATGCGACCGCTGAGCCTGTTCAGTCTTTGAGCGACCAACGAACCAGACATTGGGGTGAGCGACTGTTTGAAACACCGGTGGAAGCACATTGGCCGGAAAGAGATCTGAGCTTAGGCCATGAACATGAGCTACTACACGGACTCGACTCTTCTTCAGACGATGATGGAGAATCCACTGGAGAAGAAGGCGGATCGATGTGTTAAACCTGGTCTGAAGCTCTCCTGTTTCACGCCCAGTGTGCCGAAGGAATTGTCTGGACAGGGGGAAAGAGCCTTGCACTTGGTAGATTTTCTTGTAGGATGAACACCGAACAGCTAGTAGACGAGGGCGCATTGGGAAGCCCTGAGAAGCACCTATGCGGACAGCCTGACAGGCGGGAAAGCTTTATGCTCCGCCTGGAAAGCTGCAGCTGATCTATTTTGTTGATGACTTGAACATGCCTGCCCTGGACAAGTACAATACACAGTGACTTGTCATCTTTGGAAAGTGAGCAGGGACCGGTGTGTTTCTGAGGGCATCAAGAATTGAATCTCGTGGCACGTGGGTGCGTGGGGCGTCCTCCACGTCAGACCATGTTCGACCATCTCCGGTCGAACCGTCTGTGACACCGTCCTTGCTCCTAGTAGCGATGCCCTTTGCTCCGTTCGTAGCTTCTTGTTACTAGTAGTACGGCCAGGAGCCCCTAGTATAGCGTCCTTGCTCCTAGTAGCGATGCCAGGAGCCCCTAGTAGCTTCTTGTTCCTAGAACGATCGCAGTTATGTCTTTCTGTTCGAACCGATCGCAAGAAAGCTTGGGAATCTGAGATCTGCGATTGAGCTCATGAAGCAGAAGCAAGACTATGGTCATTGGTATGACCGGCAGAAGATTTTGATCAAGGACATCGGCAACACTCAGTGCGCTCTTTCCATGCGCGCCGAACTTGCGCCCCAACATATGGCGCGAACTTGAGCATGCACCATATGTTATGTTTCTTGTTTCTGGAAAGGTCCTTTTCTAGATCCATCCAGGCTCAACAGCTGTCCACCAGCTTTTGCAACAAAGAACTCACCAGAACGAAGCAATGTCCGAACTCACCAGGTACCTCTGCTGTATGAATCCCACTGCGGGGTCTTTCATCGTGAACCAACGCTTGCAGCGTCACTTCTGGACTTGCGCGGTTCCGTTCCCCGAGCAGCGCCGCGGCTTCCGAGGCGGTGAGACGGAGTGGGGCTCGGCGCGGTTCCTGGGAAGTCCAGGAAACAGCTAAGTTCATCCATGAAGCGGTTTTCTGAGTCCAAAGAAGGGGGGAAAAGGGACCAAGCTTAATTGTTTGGGATCAGCAACAGGAGTGGCTTTCTTTTTGCTGCCAACATGGAAGCCCATAGTGGCCTTATAATATATTATATGACTTTAATGTATTTTATTTATATAGGCAATGATGATGCAATCATGTTTGAGATCGAAGGATCCATGTACTGCGATAGTTTCAAGGAGTTTCTTGGATTTTTTTCGCTGGATTCATGGTGGATTCGTGGAACATGTCTTTTTTTTTGGGGTGAGATACCGACCACAGCCACATGGCCACATTTATGGCCACCATGGAAATGTGTGGGTACGCCCTTTCCAAGCAAAGAAGCCAGAGGGGACGCCCCCTTGTGGTCACTGGCAGGTATCTCAAAAGGCATCGAAAAGCCAACTTTCGAATGCGGCTTTCTCCAAAACGGGACCCAACTGTCGGCCCGTCCAAGCATTGCTTAACGCTTAAGCAATATATTTAGAAGAAACGTATAGGAAAGTCAATGAAGACCTGCTGGTGGAGAGCATTTGACAACGTGAGGTCTTGATCGACTTTCAATGCTCGAGCTTGATCAAGCTTGTTCATGGCTTCCGGATCGTCTTCATTTGCCAACTTCTCACCCATAAAACTCGTTGTGATCTGTGAGGTCGGCGCTGCTGACGATCTATTCGACCTTCATGAAGGGTCACTTCGAGCGCTTGCCCTTCAAGGGACCTGTCCAGGAGCAAGTCTCAGGCCTGCGAAGGGATCAAATGGTCCCAAGGTCGGTTTGGCATGGACCTCCAACCTAATGGCCTCCAGACCTGAGAATTCCATTTGAATCCTTTCCCTGAACATCAACTTCTTAGGGGCGCGAATCCGACGATTTCAGCAGGAAGCCAGCAAATGAAGCCTGGCGCCTCATGTCAAGCGTCACTTGTTTGGTGCGCTCTTTTTTACACAAAAAAAGCTCGCCGTGGTTTGGCACTCCATGAAACTCCAACTCGTAGTGTCCAGCTCCTTGGACCGTCCAACTCCATGGACGGTCTATAGGCACTCCACAGGTGTAGCATTTTGACACCGCCCGCTCACACCGCGCAGGGAGAGAGTGGAGTTTAGTCGTTTTTTGGAGGTCATGTTTTAAATGTCCAACATTTGACGCATGGCGGCCAACTCATCATACTAGGAGCGATCGGACGCTACTAGGACACAGCAAGGAAGAGCGAGGAATTGGATGTTACTCTTTGGTGATGGGATTCGAGAGCAGCGGGAAAACATCAACAGCCTGGTGTTGATTTGCCTTCAGAGCTTCACAATGCTCATGTTTAACATGTTACAAAAATGCATGTGAATCTCCGAAGTTCAGGTGATTTGTCAATGGTTCGATCTACTGCCCTGGACTCCGCCCCTGGACCCGGACTCAGCTTCCTCTTGGGCAGCGAAAAACCATTCTGTTTCAATCTAAATTCTTATTGTTACTAGTAGTAAGGCACCTGTTACTACTAGCGTGGCACTTGTTACTAGTAGCTTCCTACCCCCCCAGGTTTTGCGACGCTTCCCAGGTTCTCACCGCGATCGGTCGTGGACGGTTTTTCCCTCGTTCGGTGCCAGGTATCATCAAGGCAGCCCTAAGTCTTCACTCCATGGTGGTGCTACGGCCGCGTTTGGTTCGCTTCGGCCACGGTTCGCTTCGGGAGGGTGAAACGATGTGCTTTTCGTTTGGCGAATGGAGACGGCCCCATGACTTAGATTTAGATAGACATAGACATGTGAGTGCCAACGGTGATGTTTGATATGACATCCCAGGCGGGGGGGGTCGACCATGCTTCCTTTGCAATCACAAAGCGCCAGAAGGTACTCACAAGGGTATATTACTTCAACTAACTTGTGAGGTCCACTCGAGTCACGATAGGCACAGCGGTACCACAGCCACGCCACGCTGGTTCACAAGAGGGGCACAGTCAGAAGTTCGAAAGCCTCTGACTTCTTTCGACTGCGAACGCGCGAGGTCAGCAGCTTCCGAAAGACGGCCAGCAACTTCCATTACGAGTGACCCGGCAGAAACGAGACTCAAACCTCACCGCTCCCCAGAGGGCGAGAACTTGGCGCAGAGGAGGAATAGGTTTCTGGCCGTCCCCTCCCTCCACCGGAGATGGTTTTGGTGGGAAGTTTGGCGGACAATGGTCTTCCAGCAACACGTTCAACACTTTCCATTTCCATGTTTGCTCCACTGAATAATTGAATGGTATCCAGATACCATGCAGATACTGAATCTCTGCACATCCCTTGCCTTAGTTGCCATCATTCTCAGTTTGGTTGGAGGCTCCTCCATCCATCCTTCAATCCAAAAGTCTTCACTACTTGGCAAGCCAGGCTGTCATCTCTCCGGCCTCGAATGACTTCAACTCCGGACGTGTCCGGGCTTGCCCCGTCCCGACTGACTCGTCAGTCTCCACACACGTCGCGCCCGGAAGAAAGTGGCGATCGAGTCGGCCCATGCGGGCGATTCGATCGATGGGCATTGGCAGGTTCAACATCCGCCACATGAGTGGCGTCTTCAGCGGCTTGCTGCAAGCGAAGCCTGGGGAGTTCGCGGACGCCGAGAAGGCGCGACGAGAGCGATGAGGGCGCGCGGCGAGAACGATGAGGGCGAGGGCAGCGAGCGATGATGAGGGCTCGAGCGGCGTGGAGTGTGGGTTGTTTCGGGAATTGCTGGTGGTGAAGAGGTAAACCCTTAGGTATACCAAAGTTTCGATGGGTTGGGGGTTGATGGATTCCCCAGTCAGCAAATGGCTGTGACTCATGTTGTTCAATGTGCTAGAACCCTCAAATTCCGCTGATCCTTCTCAGCTAGTGACATGGAATGCGTGTGTGAGATGTGTGAGAGAGAATCTAATCTATCCATGAAGTTGACTTTTAGATATGTTTGGCATGTCACATTCTTTTTGTACACTGAACCTGAACACATTTGGAGACTGGGATCCCTCAAACCCTGGGATTGGAACGAGGACCGATGCCAATTCTCGGGCCTGGAAACACTAAGCTATTGTGGATGATGGTGGATGCACGTTCCCCCCTAAAAGGCTCTTGGAACGATCGTTGTGAGAAGCAGTCCCCAACTATCCTTCACGGAGAAAAAAACACATCACAAAATGCCCAAGCCGCCGGTCCCAGTCATGGTCACATATATGGGAACAGGGTGCACAGCCTGAGCTTCTTGGGCTTAGTTCCTAAGCCGCGGCAGACCGCTGCATTGAACTAAGCCACCTCAACCTCCCGCTGCACCGCCTCCTAAGGTGGTTCTGCTGTGGATCCACGAGAGTGAAAGAATCTATGGCGATCGTTCCTTGGACGCCTTGGGCGTTTGTTCCGTTCGAGTCGCGATGCCTTGGAGGGCCAGTGATACAAAACAAAAAACTCCGGAAGGAAAGGTCGTGATACTGGGAGAGACTTCTAAATCACGGATGGTTGAAGCGTCAGCTGATTGGGCCTGTTTTAATATGTTTTAATCATTGAAGCTGATCTATGTTTCATGAAAGTCCTTCATGAAACGTCTTCCTTTCGAGCACTTTTGGTTTCTCTCCTTTCCATTTGGGATACATGAACACACAAACGAGCCATTTCCTCGAAAGTTTAAGGGTGTAGGAGAGGTGGTTGACCCAGACCTGAACAACATCTTAAACCCGCGCAGAGCCAGAGAAATCCTTGCACCGAGGATTGGTGAGCCCGACAGACCTGAAAAAGTACCGTGCTTTGGCGGCGGACTTGAGCAAGAAGATGTTTGGAGCCTTGGGTGTTGGTCGGACCGGAGTGCTTTTTGTTGGAAGCTTAATTTTCGTTCATATCCATCCATAGTCCATACAGGTATCCTGCAGTTTTATGTAAATTGTTTCATTCTGCGGGAATCCTACTCCAGGTCGATGCAGGCTTGCCAGTTTGCAGTTTCTTGAAACGTATCATGGACTCTGAATGGGAAGCATTTGTTTCACCCGGCAGATCTCGAGGAAAGTTCAACTTTGCCAAGTACTTCCAGGAGAAGAATCCGGAACCATTGGTCTTTGCCCCATTCTCCAAGGGCATCCAAGAAATGGATGGTGGAGGCACCTGGACAAATTTTGCGCCAGAACTGACCAATTGTAATTTACACAGTGAACATCCCACATTATAGACATATTTAATCATATTTATAAATAGTATGTAATAATGAAATGTATATAATATACAAGTTACATTTAATTGCTCTCCGGAGTTTCCTGAAGTTGGATGCTCGAGTTGCGAACGAGTGGCATTCTGTTCCAAAGACTAGATTTTTGGACGAGACCGGCCTTGCTTTGGCCAGTTGAGCGACCTCTAGGGTGATCCGCGAATTCCGCGGTCTCAAAGCGCCTAGTCATCCCTTTGATAATGATAACAAACTATATTAGTGGAGCTTTGTGGCTTGGTCAAGTCTACGCAGCCTTGAACAGGAGAATCAAATCTCCTGGATGTTGGAATTCTGGACATTCAAAATAACTTGCTGGTATACTAAGGCACGTTGAGAGAACCCAATGAACCTGGAGGATGAGTTTCATGGTTATATATCCATGTTCCACGTTCACCCGTTCTTCTCCCTCTTTCACCCGTCCCCGTTCGCACCACAAAGCCGCCATGGAGTGCACCATCGATGCACCAAGCACTGCATCGATGCACAACGCCGCCGTACCGAGGCTTTTACGACAAGATCCCCAGCACCGAGCGCCTTTCAGCCCTTCTGGGCGAAGCCTTGCGCGAGCGCCTTGGAGTTCGGTACGGGTCACCGAAGAAGAGGGGCGGAGGGAGTTGGAACGAACGGTTTACTAATTGTTTGTGTTCATCCTGTCCATCTCTGAAACGGAGGGGAGTTGGCCATCCCCCTCCTAAAACGGTTGAAACGAAGCCCAACGGTGGAGGACGTTAGGGGTTCATTTTATAGAGAAAACGGTGTGTGTGCGCAAGGGCTTCTAGATGAACAATAGGCATGAGGAGATTACAGATGTACACTACTTCTTATAGATGTCAGGTAGATCGAGTCATTTTATGCTAGGGGGTGTTCTTTTTATTCACCTGGCGGGGTTATGGAAGACCATTTGTTGCTATAAAACGGGGCAAGGACCCCAGAGTCATTTGTGTTGTTAACAACCTTGCTTTTTGGATTATCATTGATGTTAGACTAGACGCTGTAGTATTTTGATATATGATGCATAAACTCCTGGCAACGTCAAGGTGTACCAGCAAGGGGTATATTTAAAGCACGACTCCCTCAATTGAAGCTACCTCCACAATCTACGCACAGGTACAACGAGAACAACGCTGCAATGGACTTGGTCACACGGCAGGATGTAAACGGGGCGCAATCCTCGGCCGAGGACACACAGGTGTGCTTGGTAGAAACTCAACGCGGAGCACGCCTGTTTTGATTGAAGGTGACTTTTCAGGTAATATAGGGAATCTATATGAATCATATGGAGAACATTTGGAAGTGGTTCAAGTAAAGTGGAACCACTCGCAGGGCCTTAAGACTTAATCATGGTGTCCATTTACAGGGTCTTGGAGGCACCCGATTCTTGAGCAATCCATGAATATACGTATGCTTAGTCGATTAATATGTTTTGCCTCAACAAATCCAGACACAGACAGTTATCGTATCAGTATCAGTTTCGGAATAAGTGGACCGGAGTTGCTTGTTTGGGAGATTGGGCACCTGGAGAGTTGCTTGTGCACCTGGAGAGTTAGTGTGAATCATTGGCGTTCTCAGCTCTAGCAAACGAACGGACACCCAGGATGCCTTCAGTGCCTTGTGTAGGTGAGGGGTGACCTTCTTCCCTCTTTTGTGCCTGGCTTTTGCTTAGAGGTGTAGACCTGGATGGACAGCAGGTCGTAAGCCTTTTAACTTTTGTTTGTAGATCCTCCAGATGTTTGGCCAGGTACTCTATAGGACCCACCTACGCAGAACGGAAGCCAGTCACGCAAAGTGGCAGCCAGCAGGGGCCACCTGTCAAGAGCTCAGGTGCTCTTCAATGACGCCATGTGCCATGTGGGAAAGATTTGCCGCATCATCACCAGTACACCGGGACATCCTTTGCTGGTGGGTGTGGGTGGCAGCGGCCGACAGAGCTTGTCGCGGCTCTCCTCATATACCTGCCTCTACTCCACGACGATGATCGTCATCAGTCGCTAATTTGCAGACGTCTTGAGCCAGTTTTGAAGCAGCCCCCTGACCATATAGACTGGTTTCAGAGTAGATGGCACTGGCACCCCAAGATGTCTTTCTCATATAGACACACACACATATATATATATATACCACCGACCTTGTGTAATGTTGACCTCATAACAATAAATGCACCCTAAATAATGCTAATTTTTTTGGGATCTGGTTTTTGGGGCTGACTCCAAAACTTAATTTTATTTTACTCTCAGCTGCTTCCAAACCTGATTCTGAGCTTTCAGCTGCTTCCAAATCTTGATTCTGAGCTTTAGGCATACACACCACACACTATGGAATTTTGATTTGGCTGCTGCATGTTTCTTTTAAAATTGCTTATTTGGACATTGCAATTTGCAACCTGAAATCAACCGACAAAGACCACCCCCCACGAGCAGCCCAAACCTTCAA